ATCACAAAGCCCCTAGCCAAGTCGGGAGTGCTGGAAGGAACGGGGTCTCGAGATACTAGAGTTCCTAACACTTATCCCTTATAATGAACACATACGGTTTGTGAGACACGAGAAACTCAAATTAAACTCATTAAATCCATACTCCTCTAGTGAATTTTAATACTATTTCTACTTCAGCTCCGTCAATAGAATGTGTTGCAGGACTGAACTGGATTGAGATGTCAATTCCTAATTCTTTAACAGACATTTAAAGGAAAATGGAGGAAGACTTAAAGAAAGGCTAATACCTTAAGTTATAGGTGATTTTCAATGTCTAATTCCATGATGTAAGTTTCAGAAAACGTCAGTTCCTTTATAATTAATAACAATAAATAACAAATACATTATTAAAGAGCTGATGCATTGCTCGGTTGAATGTTGTGTGAGTCACAAGGCAGGGCAGGCAGTTTCTCTCTCAGAATGGTACGTTTTTAAGATAGTGAGACATTTCTTACATGACTAGATGTGTTAATGCCAGTACAAAGTCTCGGTGCATCTTGTGTCGTCATTCATTCGGAGCCACCTGCAATATGCGGAGGTATTCTCTGCGACCTGTCCTGCCGTTAAAGAAGACAGCCTTGTGTGAGGAAACAGGAAGAGCTAAAAGCTTGTGCCAAGCCATCTGTGGCCTGCTCCATTTGTCTCCTCGCATTCTCTCTACCCTCCTGAGAAATAGTAACATCTGCTAATAAGCTGGCAGAAGAGCAGACGTGATGGATGAACCTGTCCGCAGGTTTGTCGCCAAGTAAGTTCTGGCACTCATATCCAACTTAAAGGCTTATTTACAGATCAAATTCCGTGGCTTTACATGCAACGGTCCATCCACAACACCTAGTTTTACGGGAACCTTCAAAGTTTTGAATGTTAATTTTTATTATGAGTTCAGACAGGCTGTAAACCACATAAACCTCAACTTTATTTGGTTTTCGCTTCTTTAACCATTTCGAGGCTATTGCATTACTTCGTCTTACAGGAAAACTAGGTCATCGCGTACCCCAATAAATAACTCACCTTGAAGAGAAAGACTTGAAGGGAAGATTGGTGAGCTATCACAAAGCCGCCCGAGTGAGATTTATCTAAATATATGCCTCCCACAACTAATTAATTAGTCTTTGCATCTATGAATCTAATATTAATAGGCAGCAGGTGAAGGACAAGGCGTATATGTGTTTCCTCCCTTTGCAAACCGCGAGATTAAGCTGTTAAGAAAATAGTCCCAAATGCATGTTTATCCATGAAAACTAATTTCACACTGATTTCATGAGGCTTTTGTCACATTATTGAGGACATACTGTTGTCAAATGAACTCCTTGGAGTGTAATGAAAATGAAAAAGAAGATCTGTGATATGATTGTTTATAAACCCTGTCCTGGTTCCAGTTCTCCTGAGGAGCTCTGAATCGTCAATAATCTGCCAGTTCCTAAAAATACTGTCTTCATGGACACTCCAGGAGTATATTGCTTCTTTAAAGCAACGGTTCATGAGACCATAACTGTTACAGTGTTAATGGTTTGACAACTGATTTCCACCGGGTGCTAGTCACCTCCTCCAGGAAAGCTAGAAGCTCTCTATCTGAGCTGAGCCTGGCAGTGTAGGGTTTTGCTCAATGGCTGAGAGAGATCAGCTGATGTTCTCGGCCAAAGAGCTGGCCATGCACAGCACGGTTTAGCTTAGGAGAGCTATCGAAAGCTCCATGCTCAGTAGAGAAAGTGATCATTGTCCTGCGGACCCCCAGATAAGTTCAAAATCATTGGAAAGCAGTTTGGTACCTACATGAAGAGGATCGCCATTGCACTAATTATTATTATTATTGGCATTTATATCGCGCCAACAGATTCCGTAGCGCTTACAATATTATAAGAGGGGGAGATTTAACAATAAATAAGACAGCTACAAAAAAACTTAGATGAGCAAACGAGGTTCCAGTCTCTAGGTGGTGGGGTATAAAACACAATAGGACAGGAAATAGCAATCAAATAAGGTGGGAGTGTAGCAGAGCTGGAGGAGTGAGTAGAGTGCTGCCTTTTAGGAGAGAGCATGAGACAGGTATGTGAGCTTTCCTGAAGAGATGGGTTTTAAGGCACTTCTTAAACTAATAGCATCATAACCATTAGTGTGCTGTAGTGTTTATGGTGCTTGTAATATGCCTTAAAGTCTAGGTCTCTTATTTGTTGCTTAGAGATTTAGGGTGAGGACAAGGGTTTTTTGAGCTGTGAATGTAAGGTTGTAGTATAGGAATTATCTCAGCTACTTATCTTGACGGTGACCCGACAAGACAGTGTATTGTATTGTTGTTACTGAGATACAAATAACTTAGCAACAGAAATATTGTAATTAGGTCTTTTTTCAAGAATAATTCATGAAGATTATAACTTTTCAATATCTGCTTCTAATTGCTTTTATCAAATGAAGCAAATTTCAATTTTCTTTTTCCCAATGAATTATGTTATAATTAAAACAACCTCCTAAGGAGCAATCTAAAGACGTAATCGCCTATTTTGGGGAAATTCTTGCTTGCCTTAATGCATTCTTTTATTTTGCTTGTGCTGTCAGCCCACACACAGGAAAAACGCACCTTTGCCAAAAATGCTTGCAAATTGAAGAGCATTAACTGTCATATCTCTCTCTGTACAGCTCATTAAGCAGATATGATGGTTTACGAGATAAGACAGTTCTGTAACGTTAGGTAGCAGTGCAATGTGGAGCAGGACATTGAGCTAAGTACATTAGATATAGTCACTATAATGATCATATAATAAACAACAGACCTCGTCAGAATTCATGGTCATATTAGCTATATATTGCCTGATTCACAATCCATTAAAGGGACACTGTAGTCACTATAACCACTTTGTCTCTTTGAATTGGTTATACTGCCTGGAGTGGCCTGGCACTGTCCCTCCATTCAGTGTTGCACCATGTTTGTGCAGTATGCCACAAAATAAGAGTCCCTGGCCACCCACAGTCCGGCCCCTTCAGTATGTGTAGCTAAGGTAGAGATTACACACTTCCTTGTTGTCATACCAATTCATACCGTCAGTTGGAACTCTGACAGGCTAAAAGCAGTCAGCTGACACTCTCAGCCAATCATAGCTGCCCATTGCTGCTCAGGGTAATACTTCCTTATTAGCCAAAGCAGCACAGATGGGATGGACTGCTGTGGTCTCTTGTTTAGCATTAAAACATTACAACATTAAAAACTGTTTAATGCTGAAAGAAATGATGGCACCAGGGGACTCCATACACTATAACCAGCTTAATGAGATGAAGCAGATACAGTGCCTACGGTGTCCCTTTAACTGTTTAACATGAGCCCAGTTTAGCGTGATATGGGACAAGGTGAAGGAAACACGCAGAATACTTTACAATTGTGTTCAAATTTACTTTCATTTTGGTGCAAACAGTAGAATAGCAGGGATATGAGTCTATCTCTAATAAGGAATGGATATTTTCAATCCAAGATATCAGTGGTGGACAGTCCACGTAGACAAAATTGCAACGGTCAATGACAAAACTTAAAAAGCATGAGTGATTCTTTTTTAAAGTCATTAATTCCAAGGAGAATGTTGATGCCACAAAACATATGTATAATTTGAATAATATTCTTTAGAAGTTTTATTTTGTTAATTTATTGGTCAAATAATGTCAACCTTCGATGATATGCTGGGTGAAGAGACGATTGATGAGACCGAGAGCACCGATGTGAGGATAATGTGACACTCTATCGTGTGAGAAATAACCTGTGCCATCTTCACATGGGTTTATGTTTATTGTGCCAACAACTGCATGGGACCTTTGAAAAGTCACTTTCACTGAGTTCAATCGAGTGTGATGGAATTAAAATGAAAGAAAGCAGGGTCCAGGCCAGAATTTAGATACAATGTGTATTTATTCATATTCAAATGCAATTTACGTGAAATAAAAATTTAATATTTGAAAAAGTAATGGAAGATTTTGGCTGGAAGCTCCGAATCCTAGAGACCGGAAGAGTGTTAAGATACTTGGTATGATAAAATAAATTAATAAACATTAATGTAAATAGATATACACTGTGTTGGGACCTCTGCCGGTCCGTAAATTGCCTGCCTGATATTATGTGTGTTTCCCCATCTTTTCGTGACTTCTGTCCGCTCCCCATTTAGGAGTGCTTCCACAAAGGGAATTCATTCGTCTCCCGAACGGGGACCACCCCTATGCCCCCATTTAGAATGTTGGCTTAGAACTTTTACACCTTGCCACATAGTGTCAAACTGCAAACCACAAGGGAAACAATTAATGAGCACTCGTCCAGCGGGTGGCCATTCGTCCAGACAAACGCCAGCCATGGTTTGCATTAGTGGATTGTTTCCCGACTCGTTCGTTTCCTGAACGAGGGCCTCCTCAGGGCCCCATTAGAATATTAACGCCAATCAATTAGAACTTTTGTACTCTCAACATAAGTGTGAAACTGCAAGCATTAATGAATGCTACCCTGGGTGGCCACCATTTCGTATGGATGAACGGCACCCAGGGGGAGCATTCGTTTCTTGAAAGGGGATGCTTCCCTTAAATGTTTTCCACACACAGAGGCAGTTCACGACAGGGACTGTTGTGAAGGTCCCTGAGGTTGGTTTGGACACTTCTGGGGCGCTGGTGAGTTTGCCTGGCTTTGCGTTGTCTGCTGGGACAAAGAGACCAGCTCTTTTTCCGCGGGCGGGCTCTCTGTGCCTGGGAGACAAAGGGACGGTCCCTTTTTCCCACGCTTGTTCTCCCTGGTACAGAGACTCATGAGATGCAGACCCCCCTGTCCCTGGATGTGGGAAACCCTGAATTTGGGTGGAGGATTTTGGAGACAAAGGGACAAAGCCCTTTCCTGCATTAGGTTCCCGGGGAGGGGGGTACCCTAGGAGGGAAACTTGTATGCTGTGTGTTACACTCCTTGCATGGGGTTATGTTTAAATGCCGTGTGTGGCCAATAAAGTGGTTGTTGTACCTCCAGAACTGGGTGACGTCCAGTTACTGGGGGGGAAATGGGTCTCTTTATCCTAAATGGTTCCTGTTCAGCTGAAGGAAGAGAAATAGCACAGGTAACCAGTCGGGCTACCAGGTATTCCGCTACATACACCATTTATGAGGAATGACAGAAATTGGAAATTAAAAGAGGTAAAGTAGAAAAACCTTGTTAAAGTCTAGTCATAAGGAAATGGTGTTTGAAATTACTGATGATTATATCCAAGCTTTAAGGTTAGAAATGAAGATTATTTTCAGCTATTAACAGAAAATGAAAAAATGCGCACTTTGGTCTGGTCATAATCATGGGTGGTTTTTATAGGCCTAGACATTGTTTAGGATATTGGTCATTCTGAGAAATTACATATTCATGTCTTAGTTTATAAATGCATACAGTAATATAGATCTCTGAATGGGTCTGGTAATAATGATTTACGCAGAGTTATTTTTTCTTAACATTCATGTAAAATAATACATGGGACCTATAAACCATAAGATTGTGTAGATAGAATCAATTTAAAAAATCCCGTTTCAGTTATCTTAGGGCATTGTTACAATAAACCATAGATCAGTGGAATATCTTTGAAATTTAAGATGAAAAATCAGTAACTAAAGAGTGCTTCACAATCCACCAAAACCATAATTATTAAGACTAATTAAAAAATAAATTAAATCAGTTGGTAAATAGCAATATGAAATAGATAAGTTAGCTAGTTTTGATGAGAAGAAGACATCATATTAAAGATATCTTTTGTTTCTGGCACAACAGCTCTTCTAGATGTTCAAACTAATTCAAACAGTTATCTGGAGACAGGTTCTTTAACAGGACTCTACAAAGGATGTAAGGTCATCTATTGAGTCGTGTATTAAGGAAAGCCCAACTACAGTAGAGGCTCTTTACAATAACAAGGATAATGATAATTAACAGTTTGTTTAACCAATGAAGATCTTTTGGACTTAAGAAGGACACCTTTCAATAGTAACTTGGAAAATGTTTTTGTTTTGTCTTTTCATGGATCAGATATGTGTGAAAGGTTATTCTTCACTGACTTTTTTCAGTCTATATTACTATTCTATGTTACTATATTACTACATTATTAAACAACTTTGTAAAATTAGAACCCTATTACTAATTCCTCATTTCTCTGTTTTCATTCACCGTGCACTGAACACATTGTTTATGAAGAAATAGATACAACGTACGGGTGATTGCCTCAGTTTTCTAGGTGTTCCCACAGCTAAGTAATTAAAATGAAGCCAAAGTAATTAAAGGAAAAGTTAATTAGCTCGTTAAGATAGAAGGTTAGAGAAGATGGTAAAATTAAGGCAAATTGCTCATTTCTCTTCATTTACTAACAGGAAAGAAGGACAAAGTGGACATAAATGAATAAACTAGGGAAAACCAAATGATTGATGATGGAAGGGAGTAAGTGATGGGAGTGGGAGTAGATGAACAGGGCAGTGAAGGAGGGGCAGGAGGGGAGTGAATTATCTTTGCAGGCACGTGAGCAGTGTGAGTGAGTGAATTAAATGATTAGCTGATGATACAATAGTCATGGTAGATGAGTTAGTCACTGAGAAAGTGAATTAAGTTTTAAAAGGTTTATGCATTATTAAATGGGTGTATGTTATTAATTGAGGGAGTGAAGAAGTTTAGAAGGAGGGAAAGGGTCAAGAGAGTGAGTGAATAAGTAAGTTGATTTTAGAAGGAGCGTGAATGAGTCACAGTGTGAGTGAGCACATCGCAAAATACAAGTTACTGAAAGGTAAGAAGCAGCGGCTAATGTTTTTAGTGTCAGTAAGAGAATTAACACATTGTATAAATGAACTCATGAGTTATCATAATCAACAAACCGTGCAACGCCAAACATGTCAATAATCTAAATTCCATCCGCCGCGTCAAAAAAAGAGGTGACTGGTGGGAAAAAAAGATGATTGATGGTTAGGGGAGAGTCACTAAATGTTGATTTTATTATAGAACAAGTTGGAAGTGAGCAATAGATTAAAACAAACAAAAGGGGAAGCAGTAAAAATAAATCTATCTTTATATATTATACAGCATATCCTATATTTTTATTTTTTCACTGCTCCAACTCTTCTTACCTTTATTGGTTATTAGTTTCAGCTGATCTGCGAATCAAATGGCAGAAAAATGCTCCTATCAGTGCACTGCAAAATGTATACATGAGTCAAACCGTCTTCCAAAATGAAATTTGCATGTCCTTAAAAATTCTCTATCTTTGAAAAAACCTAATTTCTTGCCTTGCACAAATCAATTGTAAATCAAATTAAACTGAGCAAAGGGATGAGTAAAGGTCAGAGGACTAACCTAACTAATGGAGTTGGTCATTGAGAGATATGAATGGAAGGAGGGTAAGGAACGAGTGAAGGTTGAGTGAATGATATACCAGTGATAAAAACTCAGAGAGGGAGGTTGGGTTAAAGCTGGAGTGAGACAGAACATGAGTGAGGTATAGGTGAGAAAAATGGGTGTGTGATGAGTGTGAATAACCGAATAAGCGACCCCGGTAGGATCACTGACTGAACCCTAATGATATCCAATATTTTAACAAACCCTGTGAGCTGACATTCTGAAAGCTTCACTGATATATAACCAGTGTTTAATTTGGACTAAAATTTTTTTTAAAATAATTGAATCAGTACTTGCTACACGAAGTTTCATTTTTTCTTTAAACAGACCTTATACACAGTACTAGGGAAAGCTCAGCAAATAACCGCTCCTGGATAGACATCATATAAATCCTTTATGAGGGGTACTCCGTGTTCCTCGTTTCTGAAACTCACTGTTTGAGAAGACCTATTACAAAGTACATTCTGAGCTACTTTACCCGAATAACTAAATGCACTCCTGAGACCCGGGCAGCTGATCCCGCAGCAGAACCACAGCGGTTGTTTAATAACCATAACTTGTAAAATATTTCCCAGCAGGCAGTCTGAGCATGCAGATGGAGAATTAACTCATCACCCGCTGATCGTTTCTTCTGAAAACCACATTAAGGCAGGAGTGAGCCAATTTAACCTGCAGTACAGGGCTCTTTACTGTCTTCCTGGGGGGTAGCGTGATGCTCGCTTGGAGATGCAGAGTAATTTTTTCTGTTCCTAATTGTGTTTTAATGCAGTGAAGGTTCAGGAGAATCTGTGATCACAAAATATTTAAAATCACATTTTGGCAATAATTCTCCAGTCACTGAACTGCACACCCATCGTGAGAGCCAACTAAATACTGTTTAATATCTTAGTAATTTGCATAAAATGTTACATTGTGCAGCCATGTTACAAAGATTCCTAGGCAAAACTATAACAAGCCAGAACTAAGCTGCAGATCTCAGAGAAATGTGGAATAAGGATGAAGAAAAACATTAGGGAACTTGAAAGAATATATTGCAAAATCATTAATAAAGGTAATATGCAGATTAAAATACATGTGACTGTGACTCTGGATGTTGGTGTAATGTCCTGCAGACCTGTAGGGGCACTATGTATTATTGTAATGTGTCTGTGCTGACCTGTTCTGATGAACTTGGTTTACACTTTGCCTTAACATACCTGTGACTGTGGGTAGGATTGTTACTTTGCCTGCACTGACCTTTTCCTGTGATCTTGAGTAGGATTGTTACTTTGTCTGCACTGACCTTCTTCTCTGATCTTGGGAAGGATTGTAATTTGTCTGCACTGATTTTCTTCTCTGATTTTGGGTAGGATTCTTCTTTGCCTTCACTGACTTGTCCCTCTGATCTTGGGTATGATGGTTTATTTGCCTGCACTTACCTTTTCCTGTGACCTTGGGTAGGATTGTTACTAGACATGTGCAATTAGTTTCGTTCCGAATGTAAATTCAGACGAATTTCGGTAAATTCGGACATTCAGATGCTTCCGAATGTTCCGAAGTGGCGAATTTCGGAAGTGCAGAAGTCCGAATTTCGGAAGTGCCGAACTGAACCAAATTGCCGAATTGCCAAGGTGCCGAATGTCGGAAGTGCAGAAGTGCGAATTTCTGAAGTGCCGGACTGAACCGAATTGCTGAATTTTGGAAGTGCCAAATTTTGGAAGTGCCGAAGTGCTACAGATTTCTGAAAAGTGGCAAAACAAGAGAGGGAGGGAAAATGATGTGAATGATGACAGGAATCTTGACCAATAAGCTAATTTCTGGCACTGGGATCCCTATAGATGTGTAAGTGGTTGTGGTAGCAATCCTGGCACTGGAAAGCCTTCAGATGTGTAAGTGGTTGTGGTGGCAGTCCGGGCACTGGGTGCCCTATAGATGTGTAAGTGGTTGTGGTGGTTAGGGTTAGGGGTAGGGTTAGATGTTCTGAATTCCGAAGTTTCAAATTACCGAAGTGTCGAATTGCCAAATACTGGAAATTGAGTCAGGGGATTATAAACCAGGAACACCGGAACAAAGAGTTGGTGCTTAGAAGAATCCGATAACTGAGAAATGCACCTAAGAATGCCAGAGGTTTATGAAACCTGATCGGAATTAAAATGACACTGTCATAGTGATCCATCCACTCTCATATGCCTGGTTGTTTGACAAAAATGTAGTAGTTTCATACGTGTTTATTTAGAATATTTGCACATGTGCAGAAACAGTCATACATCTATTAATATGTCTTAATCCACTGAGATGGAAGTGATTTGTGCATATTATGAGTGCAGCAGTTTAAAAGAAAATGACTGCCAAACTGTGACGGGCAATACTTGGTAGGAAAATGATACAAATTAAAGACTTTTTAAGAATCTGTCTGGGAAATTAGATGGGTGAACAGAGTTAACATCAATAAAATACTAACATCAGGTTGTGGAGCACAACAATAATGTCAATAACATCTATCTATAATTAGAAAAATGCACACAACTAATGCCAAGGTCACATTATGAAGTATCCACAAAAAAAAAAACCAAAAACCTTGTTATAAATAAATAAGCATGTGCATGGGCAAAACATTTGGTTCGGTTCGGCACTTCCGAAGTTCGGGACTTCGGCAATTCATCACTTCGAGACTTCGGCAATGTGGGACTTCGGCACTTCAGGAATTCGGGTCTTCGGTAATTCCCTAACCCTACCCCTAACCCTAACCTTACCCCATAACCCTACCCCTAACCCTAACCCTAACGCTACCTCTAACCCTACCTATTAGGTTGGGTTAGGGTTAAGGTTAGAT